CGGATTGTCAATCTGTTGTGTAATTCCCCGTTGCTATATGTGTTTGGTGTACCGCAGCAAACAATCCCTGCATTTTATAAATTTATACACAGAATATTAACACTATGTCTGGATATCTTATCTGAAAGTATAAGCTATATATACACAAGAAGAAGAATGCTGTTGGGGTAGTACTGTCTGAGTAAGAGAGTCCATACCTTACTCTCACTTCTACTTCAACTCAGGCCCAACAGACTCTTACTTATTATGACCTTATTATGTCTATTAACAGGAAAAGGTGCTGCAGCTTTTTTTTTTAATGTGCTGGCAGACTTTCTTTTCAATGTAAACACACATTTGGCCCTGCAATACTTCCTCCCCATGCTCCTATCTGAATAGGTCAAGCTCAACTAAAATACTTTTTTATTTATGCCACATAGGATAAGCCTTTGAGTAACCTTGGAGAAGATGGCATGAGGTCAAGAAATGAGGAATGGCTGCTGGTTGTCCTTCCAAAATCGTCTTGTTTGAAAAGAGCCATAGCTATAAACAATGACAGCCTTTCCCAAGTTAGGATCCTCCATCAATGGTCAACCGGTCTCATCATCCCCAGCCAGCACAGCAATTGCCTTTGTGGGTAGGACAGTGCGAGTTACAGTTCAAAACCAGAGAAATGAAAGATTGGCAAATGTACACATCTGGGTTTTGATTTTTGTTTCAATAATGTGTGTCTCTTTTTGCTGCACAGTTACACAATCCTTCTAGATTATGGTTTAGACAAATTATATCATCTGATCAATATACACATATTAATAATGGAACAGGAATCTACCCCCACCCTAAACACAAGAGAAGATGGTCAAAAAGGGCGTTGGTACTTACCTGATATGCCTCTTCTCATAGTAGGGGAGGAATATCCAGGATGGGATGACCTTATCCGCTCGTTGATTGGACTGAGTCAGATAAGATCTTGGGGACCCCTGTGGGGGGTTGCTGGCTGGGACCCATGTCCACCTGTATGTGTGGGGGAAACCAGAGGTGGCAGCCCCGTGGGCAGGGCTGATTCCAGGGAATCCATATTTGGGGGGGATTGCCACCCCTGAGGAAGACCCTAAAGACCTGATATGTTAATAGGGATCCTTGCTTGCAATGTGGGTGCCACCCCTGTAGTCCTGCCTGTTGCAGGGATTCCAGGGGCTTTCCCCTTCTGTGCCAGGCCTGGAATGGACTTAAGGCCACTTGCCTTTTTGTAGAGCTGCTCCAGCTTCCTGTGCCTTCACCTTTCGTACTTAGTTGGCTTGGAAGGCTTGTGACCACCCTCTGCCTCCAGCTCCGCCCTGAGGGAAAGGTGCTTCTTCTTATCTCTAGCCTTTGCTCCCCTCCCCTTCTGGGCAGCCTCTGGGGTGGTCACTAACCTTGGTTGATCCTCTGCCCCTCTAGTGGGGCTGCTGGCTGTTGCTGCAGGTACTCAAGTCCTGCTGGTCTCCTCGTTGCCACTGGGCGCCGCCATCTTGGAACATGTCGCTCCTCATGGCTTCAAGATGGCGCCCGTGCCAGGAGACAAAGGGCACCTCTTTTAAAACTTCTGTTCTGGTGGCTTGTGCTCCAAGGAGCTGCTGCGCACCTCTGCCACTGTTTTTCCGCTTTCTGGCGCCACTAGAGCCTTGGCTCTGCCCGTGGACCCCGTCCAATGACATGGGCCACGTGGAAAAGGGCGCGAGCGCTTTGCAGCGTTTGGGAAGCCATGGTTCGCTGCTCAACCCAGCGGGGAGCAGCGGAGCACTCCAGTGCCCGGCAGAGTTCCCGCAGTGAGGCTCACCTTCTGGGCAGGGATCCAGCACCACCCTCACTTGCCGGTGATCCGCTTTGCACCCCGCGGCGCTTGGGGAAGCCGCGGCTTGCCACTCGACCCTGTGGGGAGCGGTGGAGCACTCCAGCACTGCTGGTGCCTTCGCAGCAGGGCTTGCCTTTGGAAGGCTTGTGCCCTTTGTCTCCTCCTTGCCCGGCAGATTTCTTTTCTGATTGATGCTTGTCTCACTCAGAGGCCTGGGCAGCATACTGCCCCTGGGGGGGGGGGGGGGCTTTTGACAATCCTTTCTCAGCTCAGGGAGCTTTCAGCTCGCATGCGGCTGTTGCGGTAGGGAGACAATTGAATTTTTTCGCTTTCTTTAAATTTCTTCAAATTTATCAGAGATCCAGGATGGCAAACCATCCAGTTGAGGGACTGAGTCAATAACTGGGCAGTGTCTGGTGAATCAAGAGCTTATCTGACTCAGTCCAATCAACAAGAGGATAAGGTCAACCCATCCTGGATACTCCTCCCCTCACTATGGAGAAAAAAGAGTGCTGGTCATTTATCATGTCTCAAAGGTACTTTTCCAAAAGGCAACTGGACTGTCTTTTTCCCTTGAGGAAGAAGAAGAAAAGGTTTCGCTTCTCATCCAAGAAGCTTCATCAGTTCTGGCAGGATGGTAGGGTGATGGAAGGATTAGTTCCAACAGGATTGGGGGTGGGTGGTTGAAAGGATCGTATAGCTTTGTAGTCTTCTGGTCTGCATTGTATTGTTAGGCAGTAGATTCAAACAAATGCACACTGGAGAGTTAAAGGCAGATTAATTCACTAGTGTTTGTTCAATATTTCAGAGATCAGATCCATAATCCTTATAGAGGACAGGGTAGAAGTGGATTAGTATGACCTTTCCTGCTTTAGGAAATTAAGTGACAAAGGTGATCAATTGCTCATAAGAACCTTGTTCTGATTACAAGAAGAATGACATAAACAAATTAAGACAACTCTAATGGTAATTCTCTAACTACCCTGGATAAATACAGTTAACTGCTTTCTATTTTATTTGTATGATGACATCTACATTGCTTTTATCTTTATATGAATATCACCAAGCAAAGTTCAGTTAAAGCCTTTTTTATTTTAAGGAATGAAGTGTTTATGTATTGGGGAAGGAGTAAACTATCTGCTGTAAGAGAAGTCACTCAAATTCACTGTCTAAAAGACCTAAAGAATATACCTAAAACTTACCTGGCACCCCTTTATTTTTGTTACAATAGCTATTGGCTAAATATTATTTGTGGTGTCTTAAGTTTCACATTTTTTAGGGTAGCTTTCTCAAAGTTGGGATTTTTTCTGATGTTTTAAATTAGGGTACCAAACCTCGGGCCTCAGTCCACTATCAGGCCTTGAGTCGGAACTGGGTCATGGAAGTGGCAGGCACATGCACATCCCCACTTGCACAAGCACTGGGTCAGCATATACATACGCACTCCATTTGTGTCAGGGGCGGACGGGCTTGCCCACTGCTCATGTGAATGGAGCTGTGCGCACATGCCCACCATTTGTGTGGACCCATTCCCTCTTCCTCCCCCCCCCCCAACTGGTCCGCAAAGGCAGAAAGGTTGGGGAACTCTGTTTTAAACAACAATTCTAAACATCACTTCCCTTGGCTATGTGGGGAGGGGGTCATACTGTATAGAATTACTAGTTTAAACTAGTAAGATCCATATTGGGAAAGGCTCTTCTGGTCTTTAATGTTTAATTCACAACTTTTAATGTCAGGCCCAACGGGACCTTCTTTTCCCCCCCAGATTTCCTATATCACAAAGTTTGTGATTATAGTAAGACATTGGGCATGAATGAGAAATAGGACTGAATATTCAATAAACAAGCATGAGAACAACATGCTAAGGCCATTTCAATTCTCTTGTTCGCATATTACAGATGTTGCTCACAATCTCTTTACAGCATCCTTTAGTAAAGCCTGGCTTTGTTCAGAAGCGAATTTAAGCTCAATTCAGAGTGTTGTGCTTGTTTTTTTTTTTAATTAAAACTTGCACAGACACAAATAACATTGTGAGAGGCAGATACAGTAATATGTTGTTCAGTACTGTATCCAGTTACTGATGCTGTAAAACAGCAATAGGAACAACATTTTGTCTTCTGTCTGCAAATAAGTTCAAATGCTCTGATTCTGATTGTTTGGCTTTGTTTTCTCCCATTTCTCTCATCTTAACAATGTGGACAATTTTATTTGTCTCTTTCTTTTAAATTTGGAAATTTAACTTTTTAAATTTCTGAGCAGACCTCTCACTATTGAACCATTGTATGAGTACATGAGTCCAATTGGTGAATATTTGCTTTGTTTTGTTTTAAAAGGTCCCGTTTACCTACGATCTAACAATGCATATGGTTGCAATTATATGATTAATGACACACTTAATGATATTACAGATAATTTCTGTAGAATTTCGAGACCCTTGATTTTGGCTTATGTTAACAACGAAAGCCTTTAGATCTCAAGACATTAAGAGGAAATACCCATGAAGGAGTTCTGGTAAACAGTTTGAAAAGCACATAAAGATTAAGGGAGGGTTATAGTAGTTGAGAAATCAGGTTTCTCAGCCCAGCTGCTACTTCTGTCTTGCATGCCCTCCCCTTCATCTGTTGTGTACCTAATGAAACATTCATTTCATGGAGCATATAGTCTATCTAGTATTGAATTGTACTTGAACTGAAAAAAGCAAATTGCCTGCAATCCAGGATTTATATTACCACAATACAGGTAGTCCTTGACCTGCATTCATTTCTTTAGCGACTGTTCAAAGTTACAGCAGCACTGGAAAAAGTGACATATGACCAGTCTTCACATGTGATAGTCACAGCATCCCTGAGGTCACATGACCGAAATACAGATGTTTGGCGTGCATTTAAGACAATTGCAGTTTTCTGGGGTCATGTGACCACCATTTTGCAATCTTCCGAGCCAACTTCTGATAAGCAAAATCAACAAGGAAGCTGAATTCTCTTCATGACTTCATGATTCACCTAACAGCAATCATTCTCTTAACAACTATAACAAAAAAGGATCATAAAATTGGGTGCAATTCACTTAACCACCTTACTTAGCAATGGAAGTTTTGGTCCTAATTGTGGTTATAAGTCGAGAACTACTTTTATTCCAGGGGTTCGGAAGTCTTTTCAAAAACTCATTCTGCCTTTTATTTTCATAGGTACCTGAGAAACAACTCAGACATTGGCTGCAGAGGCTCTACATCTACTGATTTGGGGAAACAGAAGATTCCTACCACTCAAGATGAACCTCTACCTGCCTAGGAAGCACTGGAGATTTGGAGAGAATGCACTTATTTAGCAAGAACAGCCAAATATAATTGTTTCTGTTGCTTTGACCTATTCATTTTTCGTTTTTCCTTCCCAATTTCTTCCCACAATTGAGATCCAGTCATCAAGCACCAAATTATTTAATGCCCAATAGTATTTATCATCATTACTAGACTTTTTTTTTTAATGTGCTGTGAGAGTTCTGAAAATATTTTTGTTTCTTGGGCTTTTTGCTCCCACCATTTTTTGGGACTTTCTCTTGAATCTCACACACGGAGCATCTGGATGGTTTCATAAATTAGGAGCAGTGCCCTTGTTCATCATGGGGCGAGAACAGGAACTGATCCAGGCTGTGAAAAATGAGGATGTACCTGGTGTGCAGAAATTGGTAGCAAAGATCAAGGTGTCTAAAAGTAGTGAGTATCTCCTTACACCCTAATATGATACATTGCTTTCACTTGGCTCAGTAGTAAATTACTTACAGTTATGTGGCTTTTGGCAGACTGGCTATGGTTATAGAGTGTATAGAGACTAATAGTAAGATATGACTCTCAGGTGAATCTTAATTTATAAATTATTTCTTGTATGTTGTATGTTATGTATGTTGTATGTTTATTACACTTGTATGCCGCCCTATTCCCGAGGGACTCAGGGCGGCTAACAAACAAGGGGGGGGGGATACAAACCACAAACAAAGACAAAAACAAATACAAAGACAAACTAAAAACAACGCAACAGTCGCAACAATTCGAGTGGGGCTGGGAACTCATCAGCCCCAGGCCTGCCGGAACAGCCAGGTCTTGATAGCTTTGCGGAAAGCCTGAAGGGAGGTGAGGGTCCAGATCTCCACGGGGAGATCGTTCCAGAGGGCTGGAGCAGCCACAGAGAAGGCCCTCCCCCGAGGTGTCGGCAGTCGACATTGGCTAGTGTATGGTATTCGGAGGAGGCCTAATCTGTGGGATCTAATTGGTCGTAGGGAGGTAATTGGCAGCAGGCGATCTCTCAAGTACTCAGGTCCGATACATGTAGGGCTTTAAAAGTAACGACTAGCATCTTGAAGCACATCTGGAGCCCAACAGGCAGCCAGTGCAGCTCGCGGAGGATAGGTGTAACATGGGTGTACGAAGGTGCACCCACAATCGCTCGCGCGGCTGCATTCTGGATAAGCTGAAGTCTCTGAATGTTCTTCAAGGGCTGCCCCATGTAGAGTGCGTTACAGTAGTCCAG